CGGGTTCGAAGTTTTTCAGTGATGGTCCACGGTTCATGACCGTAGGTAAGTATGGGGATAAAGATCGACTGAACACCGAGAGCTTAGTTTTCAGACTGTGCTCTGCTTTAGTAACAGTGGATCAATCTAGTTTACCCAGAACGCCACTGGCTACTCCAATTCGCCGGTCGAACTCTTCCTCCAATTTTCCATCACTAGTAAATACAATAACGAAGTACTTGAACTTCTTTACCTGCTCTACTGCCTTTCGGTTAATCTGAAGAGAGCAACGGGCAGGAGAACGAGAAAGCACTAGGCTTTTCGTTTTGGATGCGTTCACACGCATGCTGGTCATGTCGCACTCGGCTGCGAACCTTTTTAAGGAGCACTGAAGATCAGTTTCAGAAGATGCTAATAAAACAGGGTCGTCTGCAAACAGCAACCTTCTCGACTTCACATATCCTATACTGATAGACTCATCGCCTTCGCTGCTCCTGACCATGTACAACACACCCAAGAGAGTAAACGGAACGCAGCCTTGGCGGAGACCAAGGGCAACGTCCAAAGGCTTCGACTTAACGCCATTTACTCTAACGCAGCTCCTGCTATCAGAATACAGTTATTGGGTGGCCCGCAGCAACTGGCCATCAATACCATATGTTCGCAGACATGGCCATGGATTGTTCTGCAACATCCAATAACAGGCTTTCTCTAAGTCAGCAATGCACACGTACACCGGATGGGTGAGCACCCACGATTTCTTTGTAATATGTCTTAGAGCGAAGATATTGTCAGAGGTGCATCGACCTGACCAGAAGCCACACTACTCTTCCTGCACCTTGGAGTTTATTATTCCGTAGCACATTAGCGTGGACTATTTGTAGGAGGCACAATAAGGAAACGTTCCAATAATTATGGCACTGCTTTACTGAACCCGGACACTAAAACTCCCGTTCTCCAGTCCACTGGTGTTCCCATAACCACTGCAGTTTGACCGACACGTGTATGCAAGCAAATGCCTTGTTCGCTTAAGGCTTGCAGCATTTCACGGCGGATCAATTCCAGTAGCTTTTCCACTTTTCAAGACTTTCACAGCTTCTTTAATTTTATCTACAGAAATAGCAATATCCCTTCCCTGCTGCTCTACGGGTGAGTTTTTCTGCGGTTGCTCGGGTTAAGGAGTTTCTCATAGTGCTCTCTCCATCGCTGAAGAATGTCATCATCCTTGGTAAGAGGGTGTCCAGACCTGGCCTTGAAGGCTCGTAAACTGCCCTTCGTTTCACCTCGGAACCAGCGAATGATCTGCCAAAATACCTTGTTTGCCGCTTGGAAATTCGACTGCAACTTCTCACCGAACTTCTCCCAGAAATCAGCCTTGGCTTTTGCCACTGCTATGGCTGCCGCCTTGCGTGCTTCGATATATCGCATGCTAGTGGGTGGCTGTTTGCTTTCAAGCCATTTCTTGTATGCAATCTTCTTCTTATTGACGGCCAGTTATACCTTTCCTGTCCGCCTATAGGTTCTTTTCTGACCTTCAGGCGACAGTCCAATCCGTTTCAATGCGCCGCATTCTTCGGCAGCCTAGAGTATGCCGCTCTTGAAGACCTGTCACTCGGTTTCCACATCGGTGGTCATCACTCCGATTTGTTCAAACCGTCGTGCAATGTTGTTTGTACGTTTCACTCTGGTATGCGCCAAGGATAATCTTTCCCATTTGATTCACTGGTTGCTTCTGCCACCAGGTCTTCGTATGGTACTCCATTTTTACAGCGTTGCTTGCCAGCAACAAGGTGGTGATTGGTTGATAACTCTGCGCCTCTCTTAACGCAAACATCCATTACGTAGCGTTTTAAGTCTGGCGGTACGACTATCAAATCGATCATCGACTTCTGTGCACAAGCCTTCCGGTACCAGGTATACCGATTCTCTGTTCGTTGCTCGAAGAAGGAGTTCATAATGGACTGTTCTTTGCACGAAACTGCAGCAACTTCATGCCATTATTGTTGAGGTCGCTATGGTCGTTCGTTCCGATCACGCCTTTCCACTTTTCAGCGTCTATTCCGACAGGGGCTTTGAAATCGTTCATGAGAATGTGGGATTCCATTGTTCGGTACTTCAACTGAGGAATTATATTCTCCCTCTAAATTGGGCGCATATATCTGTAACAGCGACAACGCTTTAGACTGCTGAGGCTTCAGCCATCCTTCCGTTGAGATAGGCTTCCATTCAGTAATTCTACCAGCGAGGTTGTGTTCTACCAGAACATCAACACCGGCCTGAGGGCGAGTCGTGATTGACGCTTGAGTAGAATGGCTTACATCCATTGAGGTTCAGAAGTCCAGAGTTTTTGCGTTTCGTTGACGAGAGTCTTACAATGTAGAGTTGGTACCTTATGGCCTCATCGACTAAATCTTGCTCTTTACCTCTGGATGAGGGTATATTCCAGTTTCCGACTCTAAGCTCCTAGTGTCGGTGTCGTTCTCGTGGAGCCTTTTCTGACTTGCTACAATTTTATCGCGCTGTGTGCCCTCTCCGTTCAGAACGGGTCACGACTCCGTTGCTAACTGGTTTCTTCGTCGTCGTTTCGTCAATCTTCATCAACCGTTGTTGTGCTGCTACCTCTTCGGGTGCCAGAAGCCGAGAGGAGGTTCTGATCGCTGACTTTCTGCTGCCTGCTTCAGTCCGCCAACAGCTTGCGCGGCCCTTGGTAACTCGAGCGACTTCGGAGCCGGTATAATTTTCGATGACGTCCATTCCATAAAGGACAGGTCGCTAAGTTTTACGGAGATATCACCACAGTCTCCAACCCTCCTTTTTCCTCACTTGAGACCGGCAGTGACCCAGCGCAGTTATCCTAGTTCATAATTTGCGTTTTCGAAGCAAAATGATTACATTTATTTTTATTCAGGGAATGAGCTCAGTTACGGACAGTGTTCAAGATTCAGCTGATTTAACGAGCAGATATGTTATGGGAGAACACAGCCATGAAAATTTCGTGGATACGTCAGCAGTGACGGAAGGATTCATACTGCGTGACAAGAGCTTGGAAGAATCTCCGTACTTGGGTAAATGTTTCTTCTGTGAAACATGAGATCGCATGTCGATGCTTCAAGGTGAACGTGCCATCTCCAGCGACAACAATGATCGTACTGAAGCTGCCGATGGACTGGACCAGCTACGTGGCTTCTTTGATTTCGCTCATCAGGTACGTCGATGGCGTCGAATGAGAAAAAAATGTCACTTAGTCTGATGACGCTATTGTTGGAAAACAATTCTCACAGGCATAAACATTTTGCACTGCAGTTGCTTGGGTTTTAATTTCGCCATAATAATCGCTGCTTTATTTCCCGTTTCGTTAACAATAATTGCTAAGCCGATGTGCCTGCGCTCGACAAATGGTCGCATGGCAAATGCGTGTAAAAGTTCTATAAACACGCTTTTGTTTTATAAACGGGCCACAATGGAAAACTGTTTTAGTCAACGATGATGCAATTATGGTTTATGTCGAAAACGGCATAAAACAGTTTATTTATACGTGACACAAACAATGGGTCAGTCAGACGATGGACCAGTACCGACATTTTGGCCCGTCTCTCACGGCCTTCCTCATCGAAAACTTGTAGCAAAAGTTCGTAGGTCGTTCCGCACGGCGCGGTAGCACCTCAGCATGCAATTCGGTTTCGAACTCCGTAGGTGCCGAATTCGAATCCCGAAAAGATAACATTTGTTTTAACCGCAAATCTCGTTAATCAAAAAATTTACCCCACGTTGCAACTGGCTGAGAATCGAGTTGCAGGTCGTTGAGCAGCGAATAATAGGTAGTATGGTAATTTGGTGTGGCCATACCAGAATGAGCATGAGGTATTGCTTTCCTGTCTAACGCTATCAGGGCTGCTATTTACCTTGACCATATCATTGTAACTTATTCAAATGATAATCAGTAAAAGGTGTAATTCTTGATGTTCTACTTCTTGCTTCCATGTCAATATAACTCGTTCTGATATGCATAACAAGGGATAATAGAAGGAGACAGAACCATTCGGTAACACTGATGCGGCTGTAGTAAGCGCTAATTTTTTTAGTTCACTGCGGACAGACTGACTCAAGTAAAACAAACAGCTTGTAAAACATTCATGGATAATAGGAATTATTAGTGCCAACGTCAAAGAATCAATGAGTTTATTCTGGGGAATAATGTTATACACAGAGCTAAAGTCTTTGCGTAGATCTAGTAATAGTAAATATATACTGTATGATAAACTAATAAGAAGCCTGTCGCGAATATGCTTGTCTAGGGTGCAACATGGCTTTATATCTGAATGCTCTCCTTCCATAATCCGCGATCACGTCTCTAGCTCAAACCCTTTCGGTCCAAACATATGGCGTATCTTGTAAAGTTCAGAGTTGCAATAAGCGTACTATCTTGTTCCTTTTTGTTCGACTTATACTTCATTATTATTTCTTTTTGCCATTGCACATTTTAATTTATTTTTTCGGTTGTCAGTCAATTGCTATCGATGACCACTCATCCTTTCAGGCTACGAAGGCAGACGCGTCAGACTGTGTTTCAAAGGTTCCCGATGCAGTGCCAGCGTTTCAGCTTTACCAAAAATAACTCGAGTCTGAAGCAGAGACTGTCGAGACACTTGTGTTACTCTTAGCCGTTCCTGAGGTCTTCTTTCGATGGATTGGGCTAGTAACAGCTATTTCGCCTTCCTTTCTGGAAACATTCGCCAGACGAACCGAAACCATCGCAGCTGTGACTTGTCAATCAGAAACAGCTGCTACACCAAGGCTCGACCGTACTCGATTCCGGACCATGTTGCGACGCCTGAGTTTAGCGATTCCTCTCAGAAAGCAATTTCACTCACTTGTACCCGGGGTCGAGGATTTTCAGTCGGGAAACCTCGATTAATGACGATATGTGTGTATGGATATGGAGATCAACACGCGCAAACAAACAGACAGACAGACACAAACAGCTTAGTTTTCAGACTCAGCTCTGCTTTAGTCACAACGGTTCGGGATATTTCGCACAGAACGCCCCTATTCGTCCATTTCGCCAGTCGATTTTTTCCTCCCATTTTCTGTCACCAGGAAACACTATCTAGTATGTTATTTTCTCGACCTGCTCCACTGTTTCTCGATTTATCCACAGAGCGCAACGCGGAGGAAAAAGAGAGGAGACATGTCATTTTAGACACGTTCGCATGCTTGTGGACCTCGTCACACTCGGTTGCGAACCTTTCCAGATGGCGCTGGAGATCAGCTTCAGAAGATGTCAACAAAACAAGGTCGTTTGCAAACGGTAAACTTCTAGTCTTTACTCTCATGCGCTGCTGCACTCGTCGTCCTAGCTTAGCCTGACTATCTGATCCATGTGAAGCACGAACTGAAGAGGGGATAGAACGCAGCCTTGACGGAGACCAGCATCAGCGCTGAAAGTTCTTCACTTAGTCCTCTTTACGCTGATACGGCATCTGCTATCAGCATATAGTGACTAAATGGTTCATAGCAACTGGTCGTCGATTCCATGTGTTTGCAGGCTCGCCAACAGGTTGTTGCGAGAGATTCGGTCATTAGCTTTCTCTAGGTCCACAAAGCAATATAAGCCGGGTGAGCGAACTTCCACGATTTCTCATCGGTCTGGCTTAAGATGAATTTCATGTTGTACTTTGTAACTAAAAAACTGGAGTCATCTCAATTCCACTAAAGCACTGATCTTGGCCTAACTTACATTTTTTTATAGCGCTCTTAATACTTATTTGTTGTTTTGCTTAGGGTAATTCTTTGTATGGTCGAGAGCTTATGGGTACTTCGTCAAAGCGCGGACTA